GACAGTGGCTTGACGAAAATTGCAGACTGACCCCTCACTCATCTGGTGCCTTCGGGAGGTAGAGATGTTTGAGATATATATATCTCGAACTATCTACTTCTTTTGTAAGGTCTGATGGCGTAGTGGGTTAAAGCATACTAGTTATGCCAGCTACTGGAAGGTAGTTGTGCTTTCTGGGTTCGAGTCCCACTGGTGGGTGTTGTCCAAAGATTGTATATATATATATATATATATATATATATATATATATATATATATATATATATATATATATATATATATATATATATATATATATATATATATATATATATATATATATATATATATATATGTCGTACCTAGTAGCCAGAACGCACTTCTCGGCCTACTATGCAAGGCCCGATTTGCCTAATAAGCCAAGTTTTCATGAATTAATTGTTTTTCGACTACCTAACCTACCAAACCTAACCTAACCTAACCTAACTTTTTCGGCTACCTAACCTAACCTAACCTAACCTATAAAGATAGGTTAGGTTAGGTTAGGTAGGGTTGGTTAGGTTCGGTCATATATCTACGTTAATTTTAACTCCAATAAAAAAAATTGACCTCATACATAATGAAATGGGTAGCTTTATCATTTCATAAGAAAAAAATTAGAGAAAATATATTAATTCGTGAAAACTTGGCATATTAGGCAAATCGGGCCTTGCATAGTAGGCTAAGAAGTGCGTTCTGGCTACTAGGTACGACATATATATATATATATAATGTAATTGTTCAATCTAGTTTAATTTTCTGTTGTAAATACAGTATATGCAGAATATTGACTCTTCAAATCAGGGTGATGGTTGTAGTTACTGTTGTTTTGTGTGATAATAAGTTAAATAAATAAACAACCGAACCCACACATATGAAAAGAAATAATTGGTGATTTGTTGATCTGTCCCGGACCTTTAATAACAAGTCATGACTTGATAGCTCCAGGACTTGCCGCAACATTGTCAATGCAATTTGTTTTTCATGTGTGCATTAGATTTGTTGTTTTCATCCACATTGTGACATTCCCTAAAAGTTCATTTTACTAATAATACGGCATATTTCAGATTCGGCTGGTGGGGATCCTGCTGTGGTATAAAGAGCAGTATGGCAACTTTCTCTTCTCGCACGTCATACAAAATCAGCTTTATAAATGCCTTATCTCGGGTTTGCGGAGTCGACGTAATCCACCAGTTTACTTTAGTACAATGTTGGTGCTTTGCCCAAAAGTTACCATAGATCAGGTGAGCTACTGTTTAATGTTTTAAATAGATGAATGATCAGTTTTTCATTTTTATCAGAGCTAATTGGCTTTCAGCAGTTTTCAAAATTATGTTTTTATAGTCATGTATTATACATGATCATATGAGTGTTGTCTTCTAATAAATCATGATATAAATGTGTAAGATAGTAGCTTTATATAAGTACCTATTATGTTTACATAATTGTAATAAGACCCTATGTAATATCTGTATATGAGTATATCTGTACTGTATATGAGTCTGCCTGTCTCTCTCTATATCTATATATTTTTTTAACTAAGACTGGTGTTCATAAGGCCTGTTAAATGACGTACCTAGTGAAACTGGAAGCAAGAGCTGCTATCCTACCTCGGCTCATCTGAAACCTGCTCCTACACTCATTTGTTTCATGAGAATGTTCTTTGAAACTATCACATAGGGAACTTATATAAGGAATCCGGTGAAACTGCTAGCAAGATCATCTCTCTGATTGGAATGCGCCAAGAAGTGATGTGGTGGTCATCTTGAGATGATTTCGGGGCTTAGCGTCCCCGCGACCCGGTCCTCGACCAGGCCTCCTTTTTGTTACACATCTCCCAGAAAGCAGCCCATAGCAGCTGTCTAACCCCCAGGTACCTATTTACTGCTTGGTGAACAGGGCCATCAGGGTGAAAGAAACTGTCCATTTGTTTCTGCCTCCGTCGGGGATTGAACCCACAACCTCAGGACTACGAATCCCGAGCGCTGTCCTCAGCCGTGGAGGCAGATTCTCTGTACACAGTTTCAGAAGTAGATATAATACTGTATAACCAAATAGGCTCTGGAACTTACACAACAGCTGAGACACCGAACCAGATACCAACAGAAACCACCTAGAAAATGGAGTAAAATCACACTATGTAAAGGATCTGGGAGTAATCATATAGGAAGACCTTACCTTCAAAGATCACAATAAAGCAGTCGTCTCAATTTCAAGAAAAATAACGGGTTGGATAACAAGAAGCTTTCAAACAAGGAATGCCATACCAGTGATGATACGTTTCAAGACACAAGTGCTCACTAGTGGAATATTTTTGCACAATAACAGTCCCCGTTCAAAGTTGGAGAAATTGACCCTGGAGAACATGCAAAGATCCTAGACTGCTAGAATCCACTTAGTAAAACATCTAAATTATTGGGACCAATTAAAATGTTCAAATCTGTATTTTCTAGAGTGCAGAAGGGAGACATAATAATTTACAGTTGGAAAATATTAGAAAGACTGGCTTCAAATCTGCACACAAATAACATCATGTGAAACCAGGAGCTATTGGAGGATGTGCAGAATACCCCCATTGAAAAGCAGAGGTGCAACAGGTACTCTGAGAGAGAACTATCAACATCAGAGGCCCAAGACTGTTCAACACGCTTCCACTACACATAAGGGACATAACTGCCCGACCCATCACAGTGTTCAAGAGAGAACAATCAACATCAGAGGCCCGAGACTGTTCAACACGCTTCCACTACATATAAGGGACATAACTGGCCGACCCCTCACAGTGTTCAAGAGAGAACTATCAATATCAGAGGCCCGAGACTGTTCAACACGCTTCCACTACACATAAGGGGCATAACTGGTCGACCCCTCATTGTCCAAAAGAGAACTCGATAAACACTTCCCTGATCAACCAATCTGTGATTCATACATCAGGCTGCGAGTAGCTGCATCCAACAGCATGGTTGACCAGAAGGTCTGGTCAGAGAGGGGGCCATGAGGATGTTGATCCACGGAATCTTCTCAAGATTGTTGCAAGGTAAGGAGTGTGGTTTGTCCCTAAATTTTATTTGCCCACTACTTAGTTAATGAGTCAAAACATGGCAATCAGCATTGTGGACTTTGAGGGGGCATTGGAGCATGACTGACTGAGGTGGTAGCAAAGCAGATTGTTAATTAGTATAGATGTTAGTCTTTTGGATTCATGATTGGCAGTCTCTTGATGTGTGTACACTGTTCTCGTATGTTCATGCTTTCAGATTGCTTTCGTAGAAGACCACAATGGGGATCTGCCCCCTGGAACTGGAACTGGCTTAGATATCATCTCGGAGGAATGTGGATTCATTCTGGAGCTGCTTGCTGATTTTCGAAAGCAGTGGTTTGTCACAGAGTCCGTGAAAACCACAAGTAAATTTGAAGAGAAGTATGTACTGCCTACCATATCATTGGTGCTTGAGGGAGTGTATTTTCATGATCCAGATTTCCTACCACTTTTGATCAAAGAAATGCCAAATCTTCTTCATATTGAAATTCAGGTATGATGATGTTGGGTATATTATGGATATAATGCTTTGTATATTATACACATTGAAATCACAACACCATGATGTATCTCTGAATAAATATTGAGGCCGTACAAAGGGATTGAACCTGCGTGCCTGGACTCCATAGACATACACCTATGTCGCTGGACTTCATAGTGTGGTGCCTAGGCGCCCGGACAGACAGACACAGACAGACAGACACAGACACAGACAGACACAGACACAGACAGACACAGACAGACACAGACACAGACAGACAGACAGACACAGACAGACAGACAGACAGACAGACACAGACAGACAGACACAGATTTGGAAAAGGTTCAAAGGTTTGCCACCAGACTAGTACATGAACTGAGAGGTAAGAGCTACGAGGAGAGACTACGGGAATTAAACCTTACGTCTCTGGGAGACAAGAGTTAGAGGGGACATGATCACCACATACAAGATTCTCAAAGGAATTGATAGGGTAGATAAAGACAGGCTATATAACACAAGGGGCACATGCACTATGAGATACAGGATGAGAGCGTAGCTCTCATCCTGTAACTACACTTAGGTAATTACTAGGGGACACAGGTGGAAACTGAGTGCCCAAATGAACCATAGAGACGTTAGAAAGAATTTTTTTAGTGTCAGAGTGGTTGACAAATGGAATGCATTAGGAAGTGATGTGGTGGAGGCTGACTCCATACACAGTTTCAAGTGTAGATATGATAGAGCCCAGTAGGCTCAGGAATCTGTACACCTGTTGATTGACAGTTGAGAGGCGGGACCAAAGAGCCAGAGCTCAACCCCCGCAAGCACAACTAGGTGAATACACACACACACACCTTACAGTGGCAAATACCATAAGCTGGTATCAAGCAGACATACACTTTGTATATTTATGATTATTACCAAAGAAAAGATAATATTTAGTTAGATAACAATTTTAATCCAGTACCTGTACATAGGTATAGAGCATACATGCTTAGCATTGAAATTTATACTAAAGCAGTACAATATTTCAGTGCACATGTTTCAGTTTCCCTGAGTTGCTGTCATCCTTAGATGCTAGTTAAAGGTCATTCATGATAATATTTCACTCATTCTCAAGGTCAAAATCATGCTATAATCACTTCCCAATGAAGGGAAGGAAAATATACAGTAAAAAGTTGTCTAATGCCCACTTGCCAATGAGTTTTTCCCTTATTTTAACATTTAAATTACCGATACTTTTGTTTAAAGATCTTAATTTATTATCCTGGTGATCAGCTTTCATAAAGTGTATAAGCCTAAGTAAAATACAATGAATGCCTGGTCATCTGAAAACACACTTATCCTGTCTTCAAGATGAACTGAAGGGAAAGTGATTAACAAATATTCACATGTCCTGAATATCCAGAGACCCTTCAGATAATCGGGACATTAGTTGGAAATTCAGTAGTTGGACATATTCAAATTAGTTGGACATATAGGGGTCTAGGCGCTCGTCACTGAAAATTGTGGCTTAAACTCGTTTGCCCTTCATCACAACTATTTGGAAATGGAAACAATGTTCCGTATTTTAATTTAGATTTATAAATAATGATATTATGCAGTTGCGTTTTGAAAAAGGTTTCCTTTTCAGTACCTAACCTCAAGGTGTCTCAGATATATGCACCATAATAATTGGCCATTTCATGCAAAACTACTAGACTCACTGTATATATTATTCATGTATATTTGAACTGTACTGGTGCATATCCTTGTTGAATGTCCTGAGTTCCAGGACGAGCGTGTGTCTTGCTTTCCGACCGTCCCTCCCGGTCACCTGTCCCTCGATAGAATTTTTGGTGAATCGGATACTTTTGACGTCGTTCGCCTTTTGCGTTTCTGTTCTCGTATTGGCATTCTTGGTGATATTTAGCGCCCTCTGATTATTCCGCGCATTTGATGGTGCTACATAGCCTTCCTGGTTTGGTGCCTTCTTTTGTTAATTATTTACTTGAACTGTACTTTTATTATTTTGACCTTGTTATACTATACTTTTTTGCACATCAGTATTTTGATATTGAATATTTCTGTAACTCTTTACAGTACAATGGAACTCCATACATGCTGAGAGCTTTGAGTACACATTGTCAATATTTGGAATCTCTGTGCCTCCTGGAACCACAAATGGAAGTTTCTATACTGGAGAAGGACATCCTTTCTATCCTCTTTGGTGTTTCTCCAGTGTATGACTGTAGAGCATTCTTTGGTATACTGGACAGATTTGCCGAAGATAAAGAATTCAGAGAAAAGTTTGTGCTGCAGTTTCCAAATTTGAAAAAACTCGACATTGATGAGTTATATTTTGAGGAGGATGTGCTACATGACGTATACACACTGGCTCTGATACTGCAGCCTAAACTATCATCATTTGGAAAGCATACCGGACTGACAAGGCATATTATTGCAAAATATAGAAAACTCTGGAAAATAGTGAACGAAAGTTCATATTCTAATATTGGTATATACTTGACTAAAGCTAAATTTGTTGATAGCATATGTGATAGGCCAGGCAATGCTGAATTAGACCTGAGGTATATTGAAGAAGTATTACCCATGTTTAAAACCTTACAATCTGTAGAGCTGCTGAAAAGCTATTGGAGTGAGAATGATGTGGCCAAATTTTGTCGAATATTTTCAGAATATGTAGATGCACTTTCGTTGCTCATCTTGCCGGTGAACGACATATCCTGTCTCGGTAACATCAGCCACTTGCGCTTGAAATTTATGCGACAATACTCTTTTGAGCACGTGCACCAGGTTTTGGACAACTGCCCAAACCTAGAGACTTTGAGTGTGCATGCTGTGTTTCAAGCACAGCCTCAACCCAATCAGGTAAGGTTTGATCAGATGCAGCATTTTGGCCAAATGTTGGATGAGGACCGACTCCTCATACAAAACCTCATGGTTGAAGAATTAAGACAGTTTCCTGAGTTACAAATACTGGGTGAGGAAGTTGTTGAACATATACCCAGGAACTTGCCTGCTAATCCTCTGAATGTTCACGGTGTACGGGATGCTCAAATTGTGCCTGTGTATAACAGGGTATCAAAGACCAAGTTGAAAACACATCAGAAATTAACAACATTGCGCATTGCATCTATATTTGAGGCAGCCAAAGAACCCTCAGAGGTAAGACCAATTAAAATAAGTATTCAGGAATAACAGAAAGAATGGCATAATTTTTTGTACATTATTGATTCATTAGTTGTGACCATATACAGTATTACAATTTATTTTAGTGTTTATTGTTTTAACCATTTGGTTGTGAAAGTTGACTCTATCCACCAGATTCATAACAATGACTTTACTGTAGAAATGTCATAACGTAGCTGAAACATAACCCAGCACTCACACACTTGAAAGTGATGATGTTTTCGTCTATCCTGGACTCATAGTAGTCATGAATTAATACGGTCCACACTGCTTTTCTCTCTATTCTGCCCCAGCTCTTTATCACATCCCACCCAAGTGCCATATTGTCATACTGGTTTATTGCTATCTCCTCATCACCTCCTCCTTTATTGACAAGTCCAGGACAGACCAGAACCACTTTCAATTTATTTCATACATGTGGGCTGGGATTATTTAATTGGTGCATGGTTTGCTTTCAGGTGTGTGAATGGTAATTAACTGGGCCATATTATAACTGATTAATCTTTCATTATAATATAGTTGGTGGGAAACAGTGGCTGGGCATATACCTGGGGTGAGTTCTTAAGAGTTCTTCTACTCCCCAAACCCGGCCTGAGGGCAGACGTTGTAATAACCTGATCCAAAAGGTTATTACAGCGGACAGAACACTGGACGCGTGATCCTGTGGTCCCGGGTTCAATCCTGGGACCACAGGGTCACCGGTGAGAAACAATGGGCAGAGTTTCTTTCCCCCTGATGCCCCTGTTACCTAGCAGTAAATAGGTACCTGGGAGTTAGTCAGCTGTCACGGGCTGCTTCCTGGGGGTGGAGGCTTGGTCGAGGACCGGGCCGCGGGGACACTAAAGCCCCGAAATCATCTCAAGATAACCTCAAGAAGCAGTCATACCCCCCTCTTTATGAATACAGTACAATGTAAGTTTGCACTACAGTACTCGAAGCTTTTTGAGTACTGTAGGGCTTCTTAGCTTCTGGTAGTTCATAACACAGATCTCAAAATGACCTACAAATCTGAAATCTGATTATGAAGTGACAGAGCTAATGTAACTAAAGTTTGAGTTAGAATTTAGCTTTCACAACTAAAAGATTTTTTGTAGTAAATGTATAGATTTGATTTACACAAGACAGGAATAAATCGATTTAGGACACATAAGGCAACAATTGGTTTTGCCAGGTAGGAAGAGAACATGTCCCCAGTCCCTCATGGAATACTGCTGTGCTGGGCTTCCTGCCAACCACCATTCCTTGTTTGGTACGAAGGCAAACCTGAAAAAGCATTGGTGGAGTAAGTATGAGAAATTAAAATGAGTTTAATGTAAATGGCACAAATGAGAAGAGTAAGAGAGAGACGAAAGTAAAATATCTAAATGAAGGGATAGATGTTAGGTGTGTGAGAAGCATAAGGGGAAGGGGAATTGGAAGGAAAAAATGTAAAATGCAAATGGTAAGGATGGGCGGGTGGTTGAGGCATCTCGTCAGGAGCTGAATGTTCCAATTAGAGGAAGAGTACATCAAATGTCTAAATGTAAGTAAGTTTGAGAAGGTGAAAGAAAAATTTAGATTTTAAGGTACATTAGGTCAAATATTACATGGCTGAGAATGCTAAATGGATATATATTTGGGATTGGATAATGAAATCTGCAGAAGATGTGTGTTAATATTGACAGAACAATTAGACAAGTTCCTGCAGGAAGTGGTGGACGTTAGGGTCTGTGGGAAAAGCAGCAGCCTTTAAAATAGTTATCAGAAGGCAAGTCTGGCCCGGAGACACGGTTTGAGGAGTGGCGCACTCCGAACTGACTCCAGGTTGACAGAGAAGTATTATACAAGTCAATAAAACTATCAAGAAAGGATATTAGAAGATAGAAGTGCATGGAAAAGATTACGGCAGAAAGATGTAATGTGAGATAGATAAGAAAGATGAAATGTAATAATGAATACAAATTTGAAAGTATTTGAATATTTTGTTATAATCCAAAATAAAGTGGGTAACATAATTTGGATATATAAAATAGTGGTAAAAAATGTCATAAAGCAAAATAGTTTGAGCATTTCACTTTCCCATAAAGCTCTTCTACTTTGCAATGAAATGACTTGACCCAATTCTTATAAGTACTATGCTCACTGCCATCTGTCTAGATTTCCCCTCACTTTAAAATGTTCTATTTGTACAAATATTTTAACACTATAAGATGTTCACTCTAGAAGCATGAAATGGTACTTCCTGCATTATTTAAATATCCTATAGTTCAATAATGTTTTCCTTTCAAATGCAGGAGCCATGACATTGGTAAATATTTTGCAGGCACTCCTGCGAAGTCTTCTGGAGCGGGTTCCTAACCTACGGAATCTGTGTTTGGGGATGTGGTTGGGCTCCCTGAGCCACAGGCGGCATAACTTAACATGTACCGGCAATGCTCTAGTCAGTGTTGTCACAGACCAGACACGGATTGATCCTCTCCTGACTCAACTGGAACAGGTAGGGTAAATATAATCTTTACTCCCTTGCATAATCTGTATTTAATCAGTGCAATTTACTCAAAATAGTAGTGTACAGGTTTTTAGAGCAGTGCATGGTATAAGTATATATGTGTATACATATATACTTATATATGTATACACATATATAAGTATACAGTGTATATTATTGGGTATATATATATGTGTAGTGGAATGGGTACAATGGTCTAATTTGCACAGGCATTGTGTGTTGTTAAGGGTAGTGTACATTGAGAAAATCTTTGAAGTAGGGTGATGAAATTGAACTCACGGCCTTGGTCAGTGCAGATGCATGCATTACCCACTGGACCACGATGGGCTTAAAAGCAACACAACCCCATGCTCACCTGAACCTACAATTAGTTTGCAGGCACTGATATGGTACCCATATCCAATGTTTACATGCTTCCGTCAATGCACAATGAAATCAATATCATGACGTACAAAAAATATTTCATTGATAAATGCTATTGTGATTTCATTGTATAGTGTACAGTACATTATAAATATCAGTGGTATAAACTGAAGCATATTTGACAAAAGCATGGTAAGGTAGAAGAGTAATGGATGGTTAGTTAAGTGTAATTACAGGATGAGAGCTACACGCATGCTGACCCGTCTTCCCAGCACCGTCATATAATGCTTTGAAACAACTTTTTGATTTCCCACGTTTTAACTTGTTTGAACCATCTACCACTTTGCGCAAGTGAATTTTCAAATGTTTCTCAACAACTTTGTTTAGTTAGCTTAAATCTATGACCTGCTGTTATTGAAGTTTTAGGTCTTGAAGTTTCTTCTGTATCAGTTTCCTTGAATCCCATAACTATTTTTCTATGTAGGGATTATATTGCCTCTTTGTCTTCTAGCTTGGCCATATTTAATGTCTCTAGTCATTCAATTCTGGAAGGCATTTACTTGCAGGTCTTTGCACCTTTTCCAGTTTGTTGATGTGCAAACTGTAGAAACGCTGCATGTTACAACTTTGGTCTCACAAAGGTTAGATACCAGCTTGATACCTGGTTGATGGGGGGTTCTGGGAGTTCTTCTACTGCCCAAGCCCGGCCCGAGGCCAGGCTTGACTTGTGAGAGTTTGGTCCACCAGGCTGTTGCTTGGAGCGGCCCACATACCCATCACAGCCCGGTTGGTCCGGCACTCCTTGAAGAAAACAATCTAGTTTTCTCTTGAAGATGTCCACGGTTGTTCCGGCAATATTTCTGATGCTCACTGGTAGGACGTTGAACAGCTGCGGACCTCTGATATTTATACAGCGTTCTCTGATTGTGCCTATGGCACCTCTGCTCTTCACTGGTTCTATTCTGCATTTTCTTCCATATCATTCACTCCAGTACGTTATTTTACTGTGCAGATTTGGGACCTGTCCCTCCAGTATTTTCCATGTGTGTATTATTTGGTATCTCTCTCGTCTCCTTTCTAGTGAGTACATTTGGAGAGCTTTGAGACAATCCCAATAATTTAGGTGCATTGTCTCGTCTATGCGTGCTGTATATGTTCTCTGTATTCCCTCTTATTTCAGCACTCTCTCCTGCTCTGAAGGGGAAGGGAGCACTGAGCAGTACTCAAGACGTACCCTGTGTTTTGTACCCTGTATTATGTTTAAGATCCTCATTTTTGCCGTATCTGAGTACCTGGAATTTATCACAGTTAAACATCATGTTATTTTCTGCTGCCCAATCGAAAACTTTGATAATATATGTTTGTAGTTTATCAATGTCTTCAGCAGAGGTAATTTTCATGCTGATTTTTGTATCATCTGCAAAGGATGACACAAAGCTGTGACTTGTATTTTTGTCTATATCAGATATGAGAATAAGGAACAGCAGTGGTGCAAGGACTGTACCTTGAGGTACAGAGCTTTTAACTGCGCTCTGACTCGATTTTATTTGATTGACTATTACTCTTTGTGTTCTGTTCGACAGGAAATTGAGTATCCAGTGTCCTACTTTACCAGTTATACCCATTGACCTCATTTTGTGAGCAATTACTCCATGGTCACAGTTGTCGAATGCCTTTGCAAAGTCTGTGTATAAGACATCTGCATTCTGTTTTTCTTCTAATGCCTCAGTGATTTTGTCATAGTGGTCAAGTAGCTGTGAGAGGCATGATCTTCCTGCTCTAAATCCATGTTGGCCTGGATTGTGGAGGTCATTGGTTTCCATGAATCTATTGACCTGACTCCTGATCACTCTCTCAAATACTTTTATTATGTGGGACGTTAGTGCAACTGGTCTATAATTCTTTGCCAGTGCTTTGCTACCAGCTTTGTTTAGAGGGGCTATGTCTGCTGCTTTAAGCGCATCTGGTATCTCCCCTGTGTCCAAGCTCTTCCTCCACACTATACTGAGTGCCTGTGCTACCGATAGCACTAACATTGCACATCATAAAAATTTTTGAGAGAGTGCTAAGAAGTAAGATCACAAAATACATGGAATCACAGCATCTCCATAACCACGGACAACATGGTTTCAGAACAGGGCGCTCCTGCCTGTCGCAGTTGCTGGACCACTATGATATGGCATTAGATGCTATGGAAGACAAACAAAATGCTGATGTAATTTACACAGATTTCGCAAAAGCTTTTGATAAATGTGACCATGGTGTTATTGCACATAAAATGCGTTCAAAAGGAATTACCGCGAAAATAGGCAGATGGATCTACAATTTCCTGACAAACAGAACCCAATGTGTAATAGTCAACAAAATAAAATCCAGCCCATCAACCGTGAAGAGCTCAGTCCCCCAGGGTACTGTGCTTGCTCCAGTACTTTTTCTCATCCTCATATCGGACATAGACAAGAACACAACCTATAGCACTGTATCATCCTTTGCAGATGACACTAGGATTTTCATGAGAGTTGGCAACATAGAGGACACGGCAAACCTCCAATCAGATGTAGATCAGGTCTTTCTATGGGCTACAGAAAATAATATGGTGTTTAACGAGGATAAGTTCCAGCTCATGCGCTACGGAAAAATTTAAAATTTAAAAACGGAAACCACTTACAAAACTCAGGCAAATCATAACATAGAACGAAAAGGCAATGTAAAGGACCTGGGTGTACTCATGTCGGAAGACCTTACCTTTAAAGAACACAATAAAGTAGCCGTCACAACTGCAAGAAAAATGACAGGTTGGATAACAAGAACTTTTCACACTAGAGATGCTATACCGATGATGATACTTTTCAAAACGCTTGTGCTCTCTAGAGTGGATCACTGCTGCACAATGACAGCCCCTTTCAATGCTGGAGAAATTGCTGACCTGGAGAGTGTGCAGAGATCCTTTACTGCTAGAATAAGTAAAATAACAACGTACTGGAATGAACGACATGGAAGAAAATGCAGAATAGAACCAGTGAAGAACAGAGGTGCCATGGGTACATTCAGAGAACACTGTATGAACATCAGAGGTCCACGGTTGTTCAACGTCCTACCAGCGAGCATCAGAAATATTACAGGAACAACCGTGGACATCTTCAAGAGGAAACTAGATTGTTTAATTCAAGGAGTGCCGGACCAACCGGGCTGTGGTGGGTATGTGGGCCTGCGGGCCGCTCCAAGCAACAGCCTGGTGGACCAAACTCTCACAAGTCAAGCCTGGCCTCGGGCCGGGCTTGGGCAGTAGAAGAACTCCCAGAACCCCATCAACCAGGTATCAACCAGGAGTGACACTAGCGGCAGGATGTCTAAAAAAATGTTGTTAAAGCTTCTTCCCAAAATTTGTGGGTGGCATGTGGCCTGTTTTCTCGTATTTACCATAAGGTGGCATTTAGTCATAATAACCATCCTTTTTTTCACAGTGATATCTTCGATCTTGTCTTCAGGAATCATTTGTATATCCTCATCTTGAGATCCAATTTATTTTCCTATTGTTTTATTATGGTAATTTTTGTGTTTGGACTGACATTCTATAGAAGAGTAAGGTGGGTTTGACCAGACCACACACTAGAAGGTGAAGGGACGACGACATTTCGGTCCGTCCTGGACCATTCTCAAGTCGATTGTGAATGGTCACAATTGACTTGAGAATGGTCTGGTCAAACTACTTTAGCCACGTTATTGTGACTCATTGCCTGCCTTAGGTGGGTTTGTTTAACTGCTTTAGCATTATCATCTTAAGACTTGTTTCTGTTTTTTGGGATTAATGGCTCCTTACTCCATGATTGAAGTAGGTAAAAATGATCATTTATTTGGTAGGAAGCAACAGATGCTGCCTCTGTATTAAAGCTACTGCAACAATTTTAAATAATAAGATACATTGGAGGGGTCTAGAATTTATGATGACTTGTCAGAACCATTATTGAACTTGGAAACACAACTTGGTAAAGCAAATAATTCCCACAACAATTGCCCAAGTCCGTGGTAGCTCAGTCGATTAAGGCAGCGTCTGGGATGCTCTCGGATGTAGGTTCGAATCCTCGTCACGGCCCTTGTGGATTTGTTCCGTGGTATTTATTTTATTGCTAGGTGAACAATTGCATCCATTTGTCATTGCTAGGAATGCTACATTTCAGAATAGGCCAAGATGTGTGTAGATACAACTTAGGTGGTAATTATCAGGCAGGTAGCAACCAGTTTAAATGTACAGTATATTGTGATGGAACCTTTATGAATTTTTTTTTTTTTATGTAGTTCCATCATTATTATGTCATTTACCATGGGGGTAGAGGCTGGAGGAAAACAAAGGATGTTCATTTATCGTAGAGATCACTCTCCTTCCCTTCTAGAGCATTACCTATTATATGTAAACATATTTTAGCCCCCATTCTGAACTGATGCAGTGCCTAATATGGAAACAAGCTTTGCTTCCCAGAGTAGTATGTTTACATAAAACATGTGACTGAGTGGTTATTAACAGTAGTATTATAGTAACAACTTGTTCAAGTCTATAGTTACATATATGGCATTGTGCAGATGTTCAAAGACAAACATTATTTAAAAAAAATGGTAAGAAACCAAAATACTTAAGATTTGCACAATCTTAAGTATTTTGGTTACCACTCATTTCTGTGTCAAGAAGAATGAGCAGCAATAATTATTCATAGAACTGAAGCTGAAACACTGTTATTCCCCCCCAGCTGTGTTGCCTCCCATCTGGTACTGAGCAAGAAATGTGCACCTCTCTCGCCCGCCTCGCACAGGTCCTTCCCTCTCTGCGCACTCTGGTTGTTCCTGCACTTGACAGGTTCATGCTGTATCCAACACTCTGCTACTTCCAACATTCCAATATCGAAGTCCAGCACAAGTGTGCCACTGATCAGGTTTTTTCTCACTGGGAGCCTGAGCATTGAAGTCGATCATGCAGTTTACACTTAATAAGCAACTTTGTATTTTGTTATCTTGCAGAGTTTCAATTAACTACATTATCTTTCATGAACTGAACTATTCAATTTGTCTGAAGAACCTGTGATCTATAATATGTAAGCTTGTGATCTAATTTAAGACAATGTTGACCAAGCCGCACACTAGAAAGTGAAGGGACGACAACGTTTCTGTCCATCCTGAACCATTATCACAATCGACTTGAGAATGGTCCAGGACGGACCGAAACATCGTCGTCCCTTCACTTTCTAGTGTGCGGTCTGGTCAACATATTTCAGCCACGTTATTGTGACTCCTCGTCTGCACAATTAATGTCATTAATGAAACTGTAAATAGTAGTAATTGTTACTGTTTTAATTTATACAACATTGAAAAGGGAGAATAGAGATTATACTGTATAGGTTTTATGGTTAAATATATTTTATGATAATCCATTGCCTGTTAAATTTCCACAAAAGATAGTTTTATAAGTGGGTGGATGATGCATGTAGGTGAATTAGTAGGTTACTCACAAGGGTATAAAGGTAAACCAGTAGTTAGCTATATTCCCTAATTTAGCATCCAATCTTTTATTAATTGAGGTTAAATAAAGCAAGGTATTGCAGTGTGAATGGAGGGAACATGAGTTACATGCTGTCTAATTTGCTAATTTCTGGGTAACTGGCAAAAATGAGTTTTACCACACTTTTATTATGATAGAATATGGAGTTTATTGACTTTTTTTTACTGGTGTTTGACAGAATAGTGTATGAGCTCGAATATGTGAAGTTCGCTGAACAGAATATTTTGGTTATCGGAGTCGGATAATTAAGAACATAAGAATAAAGGTAACTGCAGAAAGCCTATTGGCCCATACGAGGCAGCTCCTATCTATAACCACCCAATCCCACTCATAAACATGTCCAACCCACGCTTGAAACAATCGAGGGACCCCACCTCCACCACGTTACGCGGTAATTGGTTCCACAAATGAACAACCCTGTTACCGAACCAGTATTTACCCAAGTCTTTCATAAATCCAAACTTATCCAATTTATACCCATTGTTTCGTGTTCCGTCTTGTGTTGATACTTTTAATACCCTATTAATATCCCCTTTGTTCTGGCAAAGTTTGCCATACCCTATCCTGACAAATCTGAATAACCAGAGATAGATTACTTAAAATTTCAAGATGTACTGTATCATGCAATATGAACTACAATAATGTAAGCTGAAGTTCTGTTTTATGTTAAATGTGTTTGTTCTAATGATGTGTGGAAATTTTAATTATGTTGGTTGTAGTACAAAAAATTGCAAATATGGTTACTTTTGGACTTGTCAGTAACAATTGTGCTTATATGGCTTATCCTGTGAGGGATCGTTCGCATTGAGAATCGGTCCAGGATGGACCGAAACGTCGTCGTCCCTTCACTTTCTAGTGTGCTAGTGTGTGGTTTGGTCAACATATTTCAGCGACGATATTGTGACTCCTCTTCTGCGTACTGTAAGAGTTTGGTAAATCAGACTCCTGTAACTTGAATGAAATCACAATTTGTGAAATTATGAAATATGGCATTTTGTGACTATGTTTATTAGAATGTGGAAAATTGTATACAATATATATGAAGGGTGCAACAAAAGTATGTTTGCATTAAAAATAATAAACTATCACAGCCAAGATGAGCTAGAAGCTGGGCCTTTTGGGCTTGTGTCCTGTTCAATGTAGTGTATATTCATTTAGCATCCAGTTGTGGGGTGTACATAGACCCAGAGAGACAGTAGTCACAGACCTGTGTACATGTTCAGCTTCCTCTAAGGAAATACACTTCGATGTTAACAAAAGACCTCTGGTTGCTAATTTATGACTATTATCTACTGATTTATTTTCCCAACAGTCAAAAAATCCAACATCACTGACCAGGTGCAGTGATAAATGGAAGAAAACCGAGGATGGCGTCAAATATGGAATTCAAAGTGGAGCCGAAGAGAACTTCCCTGCAGGAAGTGTTAAGCAGGTAGGGTGCAAACCATAATATACACAATCTTTGTCCTCCTCCTAAGGCCTTGGTTCGAAGGTAGATTCCTATCCTAGCAATGGAGGGTGTCAGAACTGTAATTCATCTTGCTAGGGCTCTAGCTTAGCCTGGGAAGGCTCTCCGAGAAGTCGTATTTTAATATCAAAGAATGGTCGTCAAATTGTGTTTAAAATTGGTTAATTTAAGTGTTTTCATATCTTCATTGGCTGTGGGTATTATGGCACTTAAACACAGGGTAGCATACTAGATGACTTTACATTTTAAATAATACAAATTTTAATTAAAAATCCCTCCCCCCCCCCCTCCCTTTCTGGCCTGTTGTCGTAGTGAGGGGGCTTGGTGGGCGGCTGCCGGAGTGTGATGCTCCATGGGTCAGTCCTCTCTCCTTGTGAAGCTTTATGCTTCTGCTACTGTTTTCACCAATTTTGCCAGAAATCTTTTCCTTTTCCTTGCTTCATTCCCCCCCTCCCCTCTTCTCCTTTCTAGTTGTTATTTCCTGTCGACCTTTTGCCAGTCTTAATTATTCTTTCGGACTTCTTCTGTTTTGATGCCCGGGTATTTGGGGAGGCTTACTCTCTCACCCGTAGAACTGTGGTACCCAATGTCTCTAGCAAGGGGACGCTTTATTGTCAATCCTCCTTTCATCACTGAACCTGATCTTGCCGGACTGATGGTTCTTAAGGTGGCAATTGTGAGGTGTATACTCATGATGCACCCCTAGGGGGCCCAGGCAAGACCGGCAACATGTCTCTTGTTGGGTGTCCTATCCTCTAATTGTGGCTCCATGGTGGGTGCGGGGGCACATTTGTGAATGAAAGTATTACCTCTCGTTTTCATGTTGCTGAATACTGTTCCTCTTAAGACTTCTCAGGCTCGTGGGATGGACGACCAAGCCCCTGAGTCGGACTGTGTTGGAAGACTGGGTTCTGTAGCCCCTGCTGCATTGGGCTCAGACCTAGCTCCTCCTTTGACCCTCCTGACTACTCCCCCTGGCTCCCCTCCCTCTGTAGTTAGGTCGAGCCACACCTCCCTAGCGGTGACCACCTTGTCCCCTGGCATGGCTCAGTCTCTCATTGTCACTACTGTGCCTTTTAACCCCTCTCTCTTTTTCTCTCGGGGTTCTCAACGCTGTCCCCACTCGTACGATCCCTTTCCATACTAATACGTATCAAGCCTTGTTTGGTCCTGCTTTGTGGGCTAAATACTTTGATCTCCCTCTGGATTCTACACCTCCTGACAATTTCTCCCTCCATAAATACCTTGTTGATTCAGTGGATGCCTGTTATTTTTAACCCCACCTGTTTCAGTACACGTGTAGTTGCTGCTCCTTCACCGGATGCAGCTACTTACTTAGCCGCATTGTCCTGCATTGGGGAGACCTCTGTTCGGGTCTCCAAAAACGCTTGGTTAAGTGCCAGTGTTGGCACTGTTCTCCTCCCGCACCATGTTGCAACCGGTGTTAGGGGACCTAAAAGACTGCCATGAGGATATTAAACATATCCTCAAAGCCCAAGGCCATCCTGTCCTCCAGGTGGAGACGTTCACTCGACCCCCTCGTGGTCGTTGCCGTCAGCCCCTTCGAGTTGTGAAAATCGCCTTCGATAATAGGAACCTTCCGCCCTCTATCATTCTTGCTGGTGCCCGGTGCTCTGTTCAGGAGTACATCCCTTCTCCTAGACTTTGTAATAAGTGCTGGAAGTTCGGGCACGGTGCCCTCAAATGCTCAAGTCTTGTTTCTCTATGCCCCATGTGTAGGGACGATAGCCACTCTAAGACAAAGTGCTCATCTCCCCTGGCTCGCTGCCTCAATTACGGTGAGGCCCACCCTACCTTCTCCCACACGTGTATACACCACAAGCTTGAGGAAGCCGTCCTCAACTTGAAACACCAGGATCGTTTGACTTTTCCTGAAGCAAGACGCCAAGTCCGCCGTCTCCACCCTTTCACTGGCGTATCTTATGCTCGCGTGTTGTGTTCTACCTCTGCTCATTCTTCCCACCTTCCTCAGTCCTGCAACCGTTTCCAGGCCTTGGACCTGGACACATCCACCACCACCTCTCCTGTTCCTTTACGTTCTGTCCTGGAAGGTCTCTTTCCCAATTCTCCTTCTGGAGTTTCCCCTCCCCCCTTCCTACTCTGTCTGCCATGTCTCCTGTCTTCTTTCCCCCCCCCCCATCCTTCTTCCCGTTCCTCCCCACAATCTCTTGGCCCTCTACGCCGCCTGTCTGTCCAAGCTGATGTCCATCATCCTCCCAGCAATCTTCATGTTGTTCACTCCCGTTCTTCTTCTCCTGCTGAGACCATTGAGTCTAGCCTGCCTGGCCTGTATGCCTGACTCCTCTCCCTCCTCCCCAGCGGGTAAGAAGGCATCGCTTTCTTCCTCGCCCCCTTCCTCTGACTCTATCACTGCGTCTCCTCCCATTTCAGTAGTTGGGGCCCCCCCTGTCCCCAGCTATGGAGGTCTCTTTCGCCTCACATTCCCTCTTGGTTGCTGCCCTTGCTGAGGTGCACTCCCCAGTTTCTGCCCCCTCTCCTCCTGCTGTCCTTGACTGCCCCTCTCAGTTGTCTCCTTCCCCTCCTGACCCTGTCCGTCAGCCTCTTGTCTGTCCTCCCGCTCCCTTCCCTCCATCCTTACTAAGTTTACCCATGCCCCCTAACTTCGATTTTGCTGATCCTGGTCTTAAGCTTATTTAATATACTGTGTTCTTCTTTACCTTTATTTCTTCAATGGAATATTCGTGGATTTTATGTCAACTTCCATGAACTCCAACTTGTGATTACACAGAAGTTGTGTAATCAGAAGTTTGTCCACTTTGTGTTTGTCTCCAGGAACCGATGCTTGGTTCTCGTCCTGGTCACTTTTGTGGTTATTCCTTTCTCCCCCCCCCCCCCAGCTCTTGCTGGGGCCCATAACTCTACTGCTCTCTTGATTCGTACTGATATTCCCTTCGTCCCCCTACTGTTTCCATTACCTATCCATTGTTCTGCTGCCCGTGATTTTGTGAATAAATGGTATACAGTCTGTTCCATTTATCTCCCCCCAAATGTCCCGCTTTCCCTTCCTAATCTTAAGGACCTCCTGGACTCCTTGCCAGAGCCGGTGCTCCTGTTGGGTGATTTCAACTGTCGACATACCCTCTGGGGTGATGTTCTGACAAACACCCGAGGCCGCCTTCTCAAACCGTTCGTCCTCTCTTCTTCCCTGTCTCTTCTGAATTCTGGTGAGCCCACCCATGTGGACTCTCAAACTCGCACCCTTTCCTGTCTTGATCTTTCTGCTCGTCGTCCCTTTACCTAGATCTCACGTGGCGGGCTCTTGATGACCTCTATAACAGTGACCATTTCCCCATCCTTGTTTCCCTTTTCTCTTTTCACCCTCCCCTCTCCTTCCCTAGGTGGCGGTTTGCCAAAGCTGAC